ATGTCCCTCCCAATCAACGTAGATGAGAGAGAAGAACGAAAGCGTCGTGAGGAAGAGGAGGAAGAGGAGCTAGAGCATGAGTATGAGATGAAGTCGCAGTATGTGTTTATTTTCACTTTGAAGACGTCTATAACTTAAAGGGCCGATAAGGATGCTAGATGACATGAAGGCACAGAACCATCGGGTGCGCCAGAAAATACAAAGGGTCGGTGCAGAAGTGCGGGAATACGACATACTATACGCAAGGCTGGCCAACACGCATGGTATCCCGCATCGAGGACTACCTCGAGAGCTTTTAGATGCTTTTAGCCTCGATCCTTCCTCAGTAATTGGCGGGACACGGGAACTGAGTGGTTGGAGGGCCGTCGAGGACATACATACTCGTGTTCTTCGGCAACGACAGATTTTCCGGATCTACCTTTCTGCTGCCAACAAAGATATTATGTCGGTGCCAGATAGTTTGCTTGATGGACCCATATCGTCGCTTATGGACACATTGGGTGAACTAGGACATCAGAGGGAGACTCTGGCGCACAAGGAGTTGGAAGTCGCTAGCGCTCTTTCCACAGTCAAGAGTCTGCACACGCAAGTCAAGAAGGAGTACAACAATGCCCTCTCGCATACGTCAGTCGTTTACCCAGAGGTAATGTCAAGCTATCAATTACTTCATTATATGTACTGAGCATCTTCTAGCTCTCTCAAATAATCGCATTAGAGGAAAGCTACAAGGATCAATACCAACATGTCTGGGAATTCGGAATGGACGCTTTGACATTTATCCTCGATCACGTTGCACCGGTTTGGAGGAATTATGGGCGAACTATCGGCGAGGATATCACAGATTTCCTTATGATACCATGGTACCGGAACGAATTCACGGGGGAGTTGAAGCGGTACGATATCTCGTCGCCCCCTCGTCGCTCCGTCCGTCACTGGTTCGCGCTCTTCCTCCTCTTCTGGTTCACAGTGGGCATCACCTTTCTGCACGCGCGTGTAGCCATATTTTGTACATTCATCTACAAGCATCCCTGGATCGACAATTCCGGTTTTCGATGGTTGATCATGCCGTTCGTTTGGATCGTATTCATTATTCTATGGTTTACTGTTTTCTTCGAGACAGGCATCGTTATTCTGCAGCTTCGAGTCGTTGCTTGGTGGTTGGGTTGGCTAGTGGGCATTGTCACATGACCTTTTCTTCTACCTATCATTTACCCTGATATCTCGGACTCTGGACATTTGCATCACTGTAATTGCATATCACACACGCACGTATTCGATGTAAACGTTGTTATCCTGCTAATGACATCTAGGTCTGCTTCGCATCGGGCATCGGTACATTACTCGTTTGCTCTGTTGCTGGGACTTTAGGGTACGGAACAAAAACCGTATGGGCGTTTGAAACAGCAGTGGAGTGTTGTCGGCCATCTGGAGTATGTGAGGTGCTGTTTTGTCTCGACGCTTGTGCGGAAGATTGGTAGGTGTAACGGCTACCGCCTACTTGCGGTATGTCATCTATTGCGCAGCCAGCTTCAACACACGGTCGACAATATCCTAAATGCCAAGATCGATGGTGAGAGTAGTCCCATGAAAAGTGTGTGAAAACTTACTTCCGCCCATAATTAGAGGCACATCTGTTTGACCGCACGCAAAGCAAGCGATCTTTGGCAAGGAAGGGGTGGGTTTCGGTTGTGATTGGCGCCTTTTCTTGGGTGGAGGTAGAGCTGGTTCTCCGCTTTGATGCGCAGAACCTGCATCTTGAGGTGGAGGCGCGGGCTGGGGCAAAGGCTGGGGCAGGGATTGAGGCTGAGGCTGAGGCCGAGGCTGAGATTGAGATTGAGGAGGTTTACGAAGTGCCGCTTTGCGTTTTGGCTTATTGCTGCTCTCAGCGGCTGACCTGAGGAGTTTCGTAGAGAAAGAAGGGACCGCAGCCTGCGGGCGGTTAGAATCAAAGAAAAACATGACTGCAGCGTACTGACGTTTTGGATGTGCGCCAGCAGAGAGCCCTCTGCTAATCTATGTGCCAAGTACACCCGTCCAGGTGTTTTCTTAGTGCGACAGACATAAAAAAAAGAGTCTACTTCACAAGGACGGAACACTCACAATGGATTCGAGAATCTTGCGGTTTTCCTCTACTTTGTCTTCGGGGCCGATCCAGCGTAATATTGAATCCCATACAGCAGCACCAGCTCCGGTGAAGAGAAAAGTCACCACTTCCTGGGGTTCTGGTGTCTTTGATCGAGCTTGTCCATCGGGCTGAGACTCCAAAACTACTTTAGGCCGTTGTTCGAACGGAACACGCGTAGACAGGGTTATTTCGCCATATGATCCCATGGACCCCGGAACGGGAGTGAAATTGCCTACAGCGGGTCCACGAGGGAAAATCCAACGGTCCGTAGGACACTCACGAAATTCGATGACGATATCAAAATCCTTGGTTTGATAGACTGGCTGGTTAGACGACGCAGTGCCATGTGCTACAGCTGTAGCTGTGTTCTGCGCCTGTGTAGACTGCATTGAAGAAGCATCCAAGTTCACTCCGGATGAAGATGCGAGTTGCTGTATCGTTACGCCAAGGTTTTTGAGTTGGTCCATGGATGCGTTCCCTGAGGCGGCCAATTGTAATAAGTTGGCCAATGTCGGATTGGAGAGGGCTGCTGCATTCACTTGATTGATAAGCGTCGGTGGGATACTAGGAGTATTTGGTGGTGATGAGAGGGCGGGAGTTGTAGATGATCCTTGTGGCGCAGCCGAGATCGAGATAGAACTCGACTGTTGCGCGTAGGTGGGCACAGGTGCTGTGTGTACAAGGACAGGATGATAGTGGACTTCAAAAATGGTCGTTTCTGTGAATATGTGCGGACCAATCTCCAGAGTACACCTGCCACGATTGTACATTGTATGCGGGGGAGGAATAGCATCTGCGGGTTTTCCACCCCTTGAGCGGCTGGAGAACTTTGGAAATGCAGAGCGTAGCCATTTCTCTCTTGCTGTAGATAGTGATTAGTGTTCTGTAGACAGATCGGGATACTGCTGACATACACTGCTTGAGAGACTGTAGGATGACGAAACTGCGAGAATATTAGATGATGGTATAGGATAGCAGAGAGAAGTGACCTGTTTGCTGCGCTTTTCAATTTTGAGGGATCATGCTCTGTGTTGTCTGTCTCCCAGTCAGGCTCCTGACCTACGGGCAAATTGATGTTTTGGCTGCGATTCATGAGGCGTTGTTTGTGCATGTTTGGCAAAGCCTTCTGAATCAAACCTGAGCAAATTGTCTTATTCGCTATGCTTCTGAAGTGATCTCATAGCATCTAATCGCAAACAGGATCTTGATGAGTACACGAGTTCGTGAGTGCTTTCTCATATAATCATTTGAAACCTCGTTATATTTTTCATAGAAAAGGGAAATACGGTCTTTAGGCCAGTTGCCAAAGCACGACCTCGCGCCCCCGATGCCAGCGCACCAAGACAACCATCCGTAATCCCTGACGCCCGTCCTCCAGTCGCGCCTACTTCACAACAACATGCTCCAGTTACGATGCCTGCGACGAGCCTTCCTCCTCCCGTTGCATCTTCCTCCATGCCGCCGCCATCCGTGATTCCTATCAGAGTCCCTGTCACCTCTGTGCACGACCCTCAGACTCAGAGAGGTTCTGCAATGCCTATCAACATCCCAATACTTCTTCCAACTACTCGGGATCCTCAAGTGCAAATTTCTCAGCCTCTGCTTACACTCCCTGTCATTCAAGAACATCCAGTTGTATCCATCCCTCCGACAGTTGAACCCGAGGCACAGGCGTCCAGTTCCCGAAAACGTAGGTCTCAATCTCAGGCGTCTTCGGAAGGTTCGAAGAAGTCTCGCAAAACGAGGGCTCCTTCTTTGCCCTATGATGCCAGCGCAGACCCGGGAGAAGACTTAGATCCGACTGCCGTGACCATGGCTGCATTATGTGAAGATACCGGATGGGGTCGTGTCAGTAGCAAAGCATCTCAAATTGTCGATAATCACCTGGCCTGGAAAAAAACGAATCGGGAAAAGAGAGTACGAATGAGAGCTTCTATGGAAGCAAGAAAGTATGGTCGAAATGAGGATGATACTGCGCAACCCAGTCAAAGCAGCTCTGCGCCCGAGCAAAGCACCGTCACAAATGTGGCCACGGCATCTGCAGAACCCAGTTCTGTACCCATAAATGGTGGCCAGCGCGAAGGCGCGGTCAGAGATGCGAGTGGTAGCGGATTTGACTATTCGCAAGACGTTGCTACTAGTCGATACAACGTCCAAATCCGTATTGGACCCAATGGTGAAACTATTATCGACGAAGAGTCCCTATTTGTGGATAGGAATCCTGGAGATGAAACTGCTGACTATACTCATGTCGAGGAGTCGGACGTCAGCAAATTTGTGAATTCTGGGACATACGGGAGGCGCTTCCGAGGTTCTCGCTGGAGTGCGGAAGAGACAGAATTGTTCTACGATGTAAGTAACGAGTTAAATGCAGAGGATGGTTGCTTATGGACACCTTCAGGCACTGTCGCAATTTGGCGAGAACTACGAGCTAATATCATATGTGCTGCCTGGTCGCGACCGCAAGTCATGCAAGAACAAATTCAAAGCGGAGGACAAAAAGAACCCAGCAAGGATAAATTACTGCCTGAACAACCGTCAGCCATATGGTAAGTCCCTTATTGATTACTGAGCAAATCATAAAAACCCTTACGCCGTGGCTAGATATGCAAACTTTGTCACGAATGACGGGAAAGGACTTCAGCGGCCCAACCCCTGAGATCCGACCGCCACCTGTCCTTACACTCGCTGAAACAGAAGCGGATCCAGCAGTGGAGGGAGCGATTTCGAAAAAACAGAGCCAAACCCCTGCTCTGGAAGATGATGATGGAGAGGTTCTTGGTGATATCTCCAGTTGTGATTTTGCAGATTAGATATATCGACGTCCTCAAACCACCTACACCTGTTGTTGTTCACTGAACCACTTTTAACATAAGCCGGGATAGCTCAGCTGGGAGAGCAACAGACTGAAGCAAGCGACTTGGTTTCTGGAGGTCCCGTGTTCAATCCACGGTCCTGGCATTGTTTTTTTGTCTCAGTTGGAATCGAGTATTTGTCATCAACACCAGTCAACAAAGCTCACTAGCGCGTCTTGCTCATCGACGTCGACGTGCAATTCATCGTTTGCATCTCTCACTCGTTCTCCCTGGTCTTGTAATTTTACACACTGCATTAAAAGTTGATTTTCCATTGGCTACGACTCGTAGGACCCTGCGTCCGAAGTTCAACAACTCTCATTGCATAGCCGTTTCTCTGTCTGAATCATGAGCCAAGGTATCTTCAGTTTTCCTTCGTATCCTCGTCCTGACTGACACATATTCCCCAGAAACTGAAGCCCTCGCAGCCGCCGCATAACTTATGACGACCCAACCTACGGCATGGAGGAAGATGAGGAGGATTTCGAAGAGATAACACAGGAAGACTGCTGGACCGTCATTTCCAGCTTTTTCGAGCAAAAAGGTCTTGTCAGGCAGCAATTGGACTCTTTTGATGAGTTCGTACAAAACACCATGCAGGAGCTCGTGGACGAGAATGCAGATCTTATCCTCGACCAGGCCGATCAACACACTGGCCATGATACAGACATGACGCGACGCTACGAGATCAAATTTGGCCAGATTTACCTTTCGAGACCTACTGTCACTGAAGCGGATGGATCTGTGGTTCCCGTGTTTCCGCAGGAGGCCCGTTTGCGGAACTTGACGTATTCGGCTCCGTTGTACATTGAGATGAAGAAGAGAGTCCTTCTTGGGCGCGAAGATCCTGATGGGGCACCTGGAGAGATTCTCTGGGAGTCAGAGCGACATGAGGCACCTGAGGATACCACTAAGGTCTGGATTGGCAAGGTGTGTTATATGTTACCGAAGGATGTTCCCGTGGCTTACCCTGATATGTAGGTTCCTATTATGCTCCGCTCGACATTCTGTATACTTCGAGACTTGCAAGATCAGGACTTATACGACTTGAACGAGTGTCCGTATGACTCAGGAGGTTACTTCATCATCAACGGCTCGGAGAAAGTCCTCATCGCTCAAGAGCGTATGGCGACCAACCATGTCTATGTCTTCGCCAAGGCGCAACCATCACCCATAAACTTTTTGGCGGAGATTCGGAGTGCCGTAGAGAAGGGCGGTAAGACTATCAGTCAGTTCCAGGTCAAAATGTTCCACCGAAATCAGGAGCGATCGGTAAGTACAGTTCAATGCTCCTAGCGGTCTGTATTCATTTTAGTTTCAAAGTTGGGCAACGTCATGAAAGCCACCATCCCTTACATTCGAGTCGACATTCCCATTTGGGTCGTTTTCCGTGCTCTCGGTGTCATCTCCGACCGCGACATTCTGGAGCACATTTGTTATGACATGCAGGATGCCCAGATGCTCGAAATGCTCAAGCCATGTATCGATGACGGTTTTGTTATCCAAGACCGCGAGGTCGCCCTAGATTTCATTGGAAACCGTGGAACTACCACTGGTCTGTCGCGAGAGCGGCGTATTCGCTACGCCCAGGAGATTTTGCAAAAGGAGATGCTTCCTCACGTCTCAATGTCGGAGGGCTCAGAGTCAAAGAAGGCCTACTTCTTTGGATACATGATCCACAGACTACTGCTCGCCGCCCTTGAGCGGAGAGAGCTGGATGACCGTGATCATTTCGGGAAGAAACGTCTTGATCTGGCTGGTCCTTTGCTTGCTGGTCTATTCCGCATGCTGTTCAAGAAATTGACCAGGGACGTTTACCGTTATCTTCAGAAGGTACGTTATATCGCGTGTTGCACGTTCGTCCCTACTACATTCCTTTGTAGTGTGTGGAGACACACAAGGAGTTCAATCTCTCGCTAGCCGTCAAGCATCAGACAATTACCAATGGCCTCAAATATTCACTCGCCACAGGCAACTGGGGCGACCAAAAGAAGGCCATGTCGTCAAAGGCTGGTGTGTCTCAGGTGTTGAACAGATACACCTACGCATCCACCCTCTCCCACTTGCGTCGGACCAACACCCCTCTTGGTCGTGAAGGCAAGATCGCTAAACCTCGTCAATTACACAACACGCACTGGGGTATGGTATGTCCCGCCGAAACGCCAGAAGGACAGGCGTGTGGTCTCGTCAAGAACCTCGCACTCATGGCTTGTATTTCCGTCGGTTCCTATTCTGCGCCCGTCATCGAGTTCTTGGAGGAATGGGGTCTTGAGTCACTAGAGGAGAATGCGCACTCATCGACGCCTTGTACGAAGGTCTTTGTCAATGGTGTCTGGATGGGTGTGCACCGCGACCCTGCGAATCTCGTGAAGACAATTAAGAAGTTGCGAAGGAAGGATGATATCAGTCCTGAAGTCTCCGTTGTTCGCGATATCCGTGAGCGTGAGCTGCGGTTGTACACGGATGCTGGTCGCGTCTGCCGACCGCTCTTCATCGTCGAGAACCAACAGCTCGCACTTCAAAAGAAGAATATCAAGTGGTTGAACCAGGGTTACCGCGATGAGGATGGAGAGGAGTTTAAGTGGGAGCACTTGGTGAAGAATGGAATTATCGAGTTGTTGGACGCGGAGGAGGAAGAGACTGTCATGATCTGTATGACTCCGGAGGACCTCGAGAACTCCAGGCTACAGTCGGAGGGTATCGATCCTCACCAGAATGACGGTGAATACGACCCAGCTGCACGGTTGAAGGCAGGGCTCAACACGCATACTTGGACTCACTGTGAGATTCATCCAAGCATGATTCTTGGCGTCTGTGCCAGTATCATTCCTTTCCCTGACCATAACCAGGTGAGTGGTGTGCTTTTTCTCTGTATGAAGGTTGACCGTCCGTAGTCTCCTCGTAATACCTATCAATCCGCTATGGGTAAACAAGCTATGGGCATCTACCTCACCAACTTCTTGGTTCGTATGGACACTATGGCCAATATCTTGTATTACCCTCAGAAGCCTCTTGCCACCACGCGGTCCATGGAGTATCTGAAATTCAGAGAGCTCCCTGCTGGCCAAAACGCCATTGTTGCTATTCTCTGCTACAGTGGTTACAACCAGGAAGATTCCGTCATCATGAATCAGAGCTCGATCGACCGAGGTCTTTTCCGGAGTATATACTACCGCAGTTACATGGACCTGGAGAAGAAGAGTGGCGTCCAGCAGCTGGAGGAATTCGAGAAGCCTACTCGTGATACTACGCTGCGGATGAAACATGGCACGTACGACAAAATCGAGGACGATGGTCTGATTGCTCCCGGTACTGGTGTCTCTGGGGAAGATATCATCATCGGCAAAACTGCCCCCATCCCCCCTGACAGCGAGGAACTTGGACAACGCACTCGGACGCACACAAGACGAGACGTCTCAACTCCGTTGAAGAGCACAGAAAATGGTATCGTTGATCAAGTGTTGATCACGACCAATTCGGAGGGCCAGAAGTTCGTCAAAGTTCGTGTTCGGTCGACGCGTATTCCCCAGATTGGCGACAAGTTTGCGTCTCGTCATGGTCAGAAGGGAACTATTGGTATCACTTACCGACAGGAAGACATGCCCTTCACCGCAGAGGGAATTGTTCCTGACATTGTCATCAATCCTCATGCCATCCCGTCGCGTATGACCATCGGTCACTTGGTCGAGTGTTTGCTCTCCAAGGTGGCGACATTAATCGGTAATGAGGGTGACGCAACTCCCTTCACCGATCTCACTGTCGAGTCCGTATCAACCTTCCTGCGCCAGAAGGGCTACCAGTCCCGTGGTCTTGAGGTCATGTACCATGGCCACACGGGCAGGAAGCTCCAAGCGCAGGTTTATCTCGGCCCCACATACTACCAGCGTCTCAAACACATGGTAGACGACAAGATCCATTCGCGCGCAAGAGGTCCCGTGCAGATCTTGACGCGGCAGCCAGTGGAGGGTCGTAGCCGTGATGGTGGTCTCCGTTTCGGAGAGATGGAACGTGATTGTATGATTTCGCATGGTGTTGCTGGCTTCTTGAAGGAGCGTTTGTTTGAGGCCAGTGATGCCTACCGTTTGCACGTTTGCGATATGTAAGTCATCGGATTCCTTTGATTTCGTGATCTGGACTCACTTTGAATCTTCAGATGCGGTCTCACTGCAATCGCCAACCTCGTGAGTGCCTCCCGTGTCATGAATTATCATCCACTAATAATCGTGAAAATAGAAAAAGCAAAGCTTCGAGTGCCGTGCGTGCAAAAACAAGACAGCGTGTTCGCAATTGTATATTCCTTATGCTGCGAAACTGTTGTTCCAGGTTCGAATTCACCCTGAATTGACGGTAGAATTGTGCTGACATCACGTTGTCACTAGGAATTGCAAAGCATGAACATCGCAGCTCGTCTGTATACTGTCTCCACTGGTCGTGTCAGGGATGGAACATAATTTGCTGTCGATTCCCGTCTCATGAGAGATCATTGTAGTCTTCACATTATAATAATTGTTCGGACAATGAAACCGGAGTGTGATTCGAACTTGGGTGTTATTTTCTGAGTTACCGATGAAACGTTATGTACGTTGGGCGCAATTGGGCGACGTCGTTGCTTCCGCGTACTACGGACCTGCCGGTGAGTGAACTACGCAGCCGCGTGGAGAGCATCACTGATAACAGCTTTCGGCCCTGCAATCGATTTAACCGCCAGCAGCACCAAAGGACTTGGCGAACGTACTCATCAAGACACAAACTGAGCGAGGGGGATGTCCGTCGCACCGCGGCGTCCCCAAGGACCGAGCAAACCAATCGAGTACGCCTCATCAATGTAGAGGTGGAACTTGAATGAAAGATCAATATCGTATCACAAAACGGTAACTGCAGTGCAGATCTTGTACTTATTCTTCAGCTCTACAATCTTAGGCAAGTACCTTGGTCCTCTCTGCGGCAGGATGGCAAATGGTGAGACTTCCATTCTATGCGCAACGTTTTATTATATTTGCCGTAGTCGTTCTCCACGGTTTTATAAACGTTTTCACGTTGGCCGACGTTGGCTCTCTTAGCCACCCTGTACTCTGTCCGGGTATCAGAACGTTTAGGTTTACGTTC